AATGGATTTAACGATGCAAATATCCATTACTTGTGATGAATAAAAAAATTACTCATCCAAGTGTTGGGATTTGTGTTTCTTTATTTATAATATATTCATAATACTCAAATATCAGTGACTATTACGTTGCTAGCTGTTACGGGCTGGTCCATTCATTTATAGACTTTATTCTCATAACAATAAGATTTATATTAGCTTCAGCGAACGTTTCGATTATATGAACTAGGCGTGCTGTTAGGTCGCCACTTTCACCATATAAGAAAGTTGGCTATCGACTGTTTAGAAACCAATTTAACGTTTCTGATACAATGCTCTCGTGAGGTCGTTTAGAGTTTGAGAAATCATTTTAAATGTACTGAGATCTCACTTAGATACATATTTCATATTGATAACTTTTGTATGTTTTCTGATATTTGATACATTCAAGTGTTAAATGATCACGAATAACGAGATAAAAAAATAAAAAAAAATCATTTAAAATATCTTTATTAATACGAACCAATTAGCAAAAAGCGTTGCTATAATCGTAACAATAAAAAAAAATATTAAACAAATTTCTTTATCAAATTGCTATATTTAAACATTGTATATGTCAAAATTATTTAAATTATATGTACATATTGCAAAAAAGATATTACAGAATACGTTTAAATAATGAAGCTACATTATTGTTACAATATCGGATACGCTATCAAATCAATTGACCTCGATCGCTCTTTTAAATGTCACTTGAAAACAAGTTGCCACGCGGAAACTCAAGACCAGGCACAAAAGAAATTCCATGCCAGCAATACGAATCTCTCTCACAGGTATACGGAATCAATTAGGAGAAATTACATTGATTGTAATCAATTATTTATCCATTTTGATGTTTATAATGTCATTATTATTATTAATCTGACGCATTAAGGAAATATATATGAAATAGTACTTTATTTAGATAACTTTTTTATTTATGCTTATGAATGAATATTTATTTGACAAATAACAAAACTAAAAACAAAGTCGAGATAATGGTTATAGGTACAAAATAATGAAGCAAAAATAATATTCAGAAAAGAAAATAATGTAAATTTATCAATTTTCATCAGAATATTGTTTTTTTATTCATATTAATCTTCTACCAAACTTTTTGTATAAATCACGCGCTGTCAGGAATACAATTCTCGTTCACGTTATCATATTTAAGTCAAAACAAACACTTTAATACACAAAATGATTTATGTTTTGCATTCTATTTTAGCAAAACTCCTCAAGAGGTGTACAAAATCTTGAGACGGTCGCTATGAAAAGAATTAGGCCAAGGCACTCTTGGCGAGAGTCCCTATTTAATATTTAATGTCAATTCTTATGTAAAACTGCGAACTCAATTTCTTGAAAGGCCTCATTTAATATTATAGTTTCTAATGTACTTTATTCATTACATATATATTACTTAAACTTGTATTTGGATGTTTTAAAATAGTTTCTTTTTGAATTCGATTTTCACGTTTATAACTGAATATATTAGAAGTTCTTAAAACGTTCCTTATTAAAAAATAATTTTCAGTACATAATACCAAAAAAGTAATAAGCCGAAAACAATTCAATTACAAGTTGTCTCTAACTGGATTGTGAATTTATTTCGTTGCAAAATAATAATTAAAACACTAGGTACATTCTATTTTTGCATTGAGATAGTTCATCTTGGAAGTCATAATACATAGTTTATATGCGGACGTTCGAGTACATAATGTATCGTCTGCGGAGTTCAATCCATCAACGACAAAGTGTAAAGAGATACAGCGAATCAATTCAAAGTTACTGAATGTGAAATCGAGATCTCTGGAATATATCTCAAGACGGACGAACAAAGAGGAATCGATGGTAGCGGGTGTGGGGGCCGTGGGGGGGCAGCGGCGGGGGAGGGGGGTGTAGGGGTGCAGAGTGCACCGACCTTACCCCTGCCGCTGTGCAATTTGTACATTTCAAGTGCACACAAAGGCAACGCGAGGTCGCTGCAAGCTTTGACAGAATTAACTTGTCCGTAGCGACTAGGTAAGCATCACCTTTATTGAATATTACGTACGAGACGGTATTTTAGATGCATGCAAATTTATTGCATGCTAGCATTATATAGACGTCGGGACTCGTGAGCTTTCAATATTAGAATTAAATTTTCAACTCCGTAGAATCCGGTCTTGCAATTAACGAATTGTCGAACAAATTGCTTTTCGCGAACAAACTTTTCATCGTGGCCTTTGTGTTTGTTAACTGTTTTGTATTTCTGCAATTGAATTACGAAATGAATGATACGATGTTTATTGTTGCCGCTGTTATATTTTGCTCTCGATAATTGCTTTCGTATTCAACGGAACAAAAAATAAATAAACTCTACATACTTATGCCGCGTCCACAGTCAATAACCGCGCCCAAAATATTTACATGAACCATACAGAGATTTAGAAAAAATATATGTATGTATAAAGTCGGTTAAGCGATACGTGTTTCGGTGAGATTATCTAAGCAAACAAAACGTGTAGTTGCAAAGATCAGTGTAAACAAAGTGGGGCGAGCTATAACGACTCACTTGTTAGGCAATGTCTGTGCTCTGAATAACTATACTGTATACAGACGGGCCCTGTCGCAGACAGCGTACAATACGCTCTTTATATTAACGAATACCTTATAACTTCGTCTATTTGGAACCTTTTGCATTTATATTTGAGTTTATAAAACTATTACCACCACATTTTATTATTTATTATACTTTATTTAAATATTTGAAAATACAAACTTAAAACACATAACATAAATAAGAGGAAAAAATAATAATATCTTTTGTTCCAATTTAATAAAGATATAGAAACCGTTATTTGAATTATGGAATAAATTGAACTAAGTTTGATTTTAAATAAATATTAAATCTATATATTATAGGAAAAGTAACTAAACAGGCGGTGGTCAAAAAAACCCCTGACTATCATTCGAATAAAATTTAGTAAAGTTATACAAACTATTTAATAAAACTTTATTGTTTATTAACACCAGAAACATAAAGAAAAATCTATTTGTTGAGAAAAAATCTAAAAGAAAACTTTTGATTTGTAAACTTGCGTAGTATTCATATTTATTTATCAGGAAGTAATCTTTGGAAGAGCTTAACGAGTTTTGATAAGACTTCGATTGAATGATAGAGGATTTTGTGGAGCAGAATAAAGGCGACCTCTCATGTCAAGAACATTAAGAGTTACGTACATGATATATCTTGAAAATAACTCAAAAAAAATACACAATAGTTCAGTATAGATATAAAATAATTAAAACTTAATCATTTATCATACAACGAAGTATCGCAATAGAAAATCATACAGGCAGAACCGTCAGCAAAAGGTAGTATAATTATATTTTATTTAATTTAAAACATAACCAACGTTTACTATAATTTAAAATTCATCCAATGTCAAACGAGAGGCCATTAAAGAGGCAATTAAAGTGTTAGTCAAGGTGACAACTATTTTATTTATTACATTATGCTATTTGGATATTAATGAGTTTCTCAACATGTAAATAATATAAAAATATTTGAATACATCGAATAATATTAATGTGGCTATAGAAATGTTTCATATTTGAAACGTGATATTATTACAGGACCTATACCTACCTATCTTGTTATGTTTTTTTTATTTAAAAAAGCACATTATTTCTTTTAAATAACGAAGTATAAAATAATATTTTAAATAACATACGATATTTATCATACAATAAACTAATAAATATTAATATAATAAAATACTGCGTGGTGTGTTAATGCCAAAAGAAATATATATATTAAAATAAGGAAGATGATGGTACTAATTAATGTCCTTAGATAATTCCAGTTCAATAAAAAATAACTAAAATTTTCAGTATTATTTATTATAGAAATAAAACCATTTAAACTAAAATATTAAAAGAATTTCAATACAAGACAAATAGTGCATACGATATTAAGCAATTAAACAGAGCTAGAAAAGTTTTCTATCAAACGTATGTAGCAGCTCCAATTATTAAATACAGAGTCGAAACTCGTTTATACCAAATACCAATAGGCACGGGTATTAATTGCTTACATACGCCCGCGTTTGTTCGCTTCTAATATTAATCTAAACTATCAGATGTGTTTTATTTCCTATAACACAAGAGCTATTCTGTAATTGTACTTTTTGAACGCTTAATTGCGGACCATATCCAATACGTGTTTTATAATAACGGCTCTTTATTGATTAACTATTGATTGATGGCTACCAATATTGATTACCGGCTAGTAGCTTAGCTATTTGTAACAACAGCTACAGAATCTATTAAAACCGAGTAGATACATTACCGTGAAGTTATAGAACGAAATTTTTAAAGATTTTTTTCGTGAAGAAGTTACAATTACTTATAATAAACTCTTGGCATTTCTTAAATACAATTTATATTAAAATACCGAGCAGTTTTATTTGAAACAACCGTCCTATATTCACAAACCAATCATTACGTTGACAAATATGGCATAAATTGTACTGATGCGAACGAAATATTATTTCAATAATACATTATGGAAATGACAGTATCATCATAACGACAACATTTTAGAATCGCTGTCATAAAACATTCACAAATAACATTAAACGACATATTTGTGTTTAGGATTGATTAAATATATTCCCCGAACTGCTTCTGTCAAATTGTTGCAACGTAAAAAAAATTCGAGATTAACTGAACGAGATACAAAGAATAAATTTTATATTTCAATTTGTCGATGTTATTTAAAATAATTTATTAATATTAAAACTTCAGAACACTTCTGTGCGTGATATTACTTAAGTTTTGGTTATTCTTATAAGATTCTTATGTAATGTTGGACAAAAAAAATATGTAACGTTTTTTTAAAGCCCCTTATTTAAAAAATATATTCTAAATTATACCTAATCTAGTTTCTAAGACTTGTAACAGTGTATTCAAAATCTTTGTATTAGTATAGGTGGATTTACCTTGGGATCGAAACTGAAGGCTGTTTCTGGTCGCAGGGGGCAAGGCAGGCCACACTTACAGGTGCCCGCCGTCTGAAGATACTCCCGCAGCTGAGTGTGATTACTCAGGGCTGTACCGCTTGGACTGCAAAAACAGGGACATCCTTATTAAAACACAAACACACTTGTCTATATAACAAGTACGAATGAAATAATAAATATAAATAAACAATTAATCTGTTGACGTTAAAAGAAATATGGTGTTACTTTGTAAGAGATCTAAATAAAACAATGCAATAATTAAGAAGAATAGTTGCAAAAGAATAACTCTTTCATTAGAACGTAAAACGAGTTACTCTTAACAAAAAAAGTCGTTAAAGTCTGGCTGCATAATAGTCTAGACAGTTTAATATGAAATACAATTTAATTGACAACTTTTCGCACATAACTAATATATGCATATATTTAATATTATACAAACATTTATTTTACGATTATCATTACTCGCAGAAACTCTAAATCTACATTAAAATGCACGTATACCTTAGAAAGGTGCTATCTATATTGAAGCAGTACTCCAACCAGTGATATTTATTGGTATATCAATAATGAACACTCAATGGTGTATTACAAAGACAGTTAATATAAAGAGATAAGGAAAAACATATTTAAAAACACAGAGATAAATAAACATCACATTTGATTTTGTAGCTCGTGACTCATTACGGAGTATCAAATAGGCTTTTTATAAATAAATTACTCATTCCCATTCAATATACAGCTTTTAATATCATTGACGGTAATCTATTCAGTTATTCAAATGTTTAATTAGAACCCTAAGAAGAAATAATTAGTTAATCTCAAAGACATCGAGATTATAGATAAACATAATGAATTTCATTGACGAAATTAATTAAAATCAACTCCAATTAATCTCTCTCTGATAGCATCTTGACTTATCTGAATAACATTTTTACTAATCATTTAATTGCTAACTGTATTACAGTTATTTATTATATAATACACTAGCTAACTTATTATAAGTTTTAACGATAACATTGTAATACAAATTGTATTATAGCAATATAACATTAAATTCAGTTAATTATAGGAAGTCATTTATACTTGCCACATTAAACAATTCAATGTAGGTACATTCACGTACTCAGTAAGAGACGAGAAAACCAACAAAGCAAAATGTCAAGGGAGCGTACTTTGGTAATTTTTCAATTCATTTAAACATGACCTTAATGATATCATCAAATAAATATATATAATATATATAATTTAACGAATAACATTTTGATACATTCTCACAAAAAAAGAATGAAATTCACGAAACGATTTAGACCTCTTGAATTCAGACTTATACTTTTTTGCTGACACAGTGGAAATCGTGTTGCAAACATTACATACACAAAGCACGTCGAATATTTGAAAGGAATCTTATTGGTTGGAAACTGGGGACAGCACCAGCACTTGAAAAATAACTTTCTGGTGATCAGAATCGCATTGAAAATATCTCAACGCGGCATTCAGCTAACCAGTCATCCATATTGATGCGAAACAAATAGTATTTAGAGACGTTCAATCATTTATCTGTATTTATACTACTACAACGAGCTTCATTAAAAATATATTTTTATATTATGAAGACGACAGTCAAAAGCCTTTTTATATCATACCATAAAAAGAATCTTTATAAGTACAATAAATCAATTGAATAAACTTGTCAATGTGAAGAAGAAAAAGATCCAACGAGAATATACCGGTGCAATAAATTAATGAATGTGATTGTCTGTGTATGATAATTATGAAACAAAAAGTTGTCACAGAGGTAACAAACATAATAAAGTGTATATTATCAAGTTATTATTATTAAGAATACCATTTATAAAAAAGGTTGATAATAACTGACATTAAGCCCGATCTCGTCCCCGCTGGTTTTTTTTGAGAGGCAAACATTATCTTAATGGGAGTCGACAGTTTTATCCGGTCCAATTTTTATACCTTTTTGCAAAACGACGTGATGTTTAAATTGGGAACATCAGAAATGTTGACTGCTATGGGTGAAAGTGAAATATTTCGTGGGTGTTTTCTAATTAATATAGTGTAAGCCGCGTGGGGTGTAGGGCAGTGACTCGTGTAAGCGATTGAAAGCGTATTTGCCGAGGGAACGCAATGCCTCTAGTCAACCGTGTTAGCTCATTCCTGTGATCAAATGACTGAACGGTCAGTCAATAACAGTTAATTGGTTTTCGAGCTGTATTATTCACATCCCTTACATTATCCACTTAAAACGAAACGTTTTATAATGAATTTGCTTATCGTGTTACATCTGATTATCCGCTGATTGATACTTTGTATATTTGTAATACAAAATAACACTTAAATGTATTAATTATAAAGCGCTTTAAGTAAACAAAAAAAGCGCTTGATGACGAGACAGTAATATGTGTGTATGTAGTCGTTTTGCTTTACAAACATCCTCTTTCATGAACGCTCCACATGATAAAACCGGCGATTGTTCACGGTCTGCAACACGCTGCAAAGGTAAGCCGCGACCACAAAGATTTGTTTGCTGGTTTTTTTTTTTGGTTTATTCCGTTTCCATTTTTATTAGGCCTATGCTTCGACCGCTATACTACACGCTACATGCGTGTTGTCAGGTTAGCTTTTTGGGGGAACGTGCTCATATACAGCTGCCAATGATAATTATTTAGCACGCAAACCCCTTTACACCTTGCGCGTATTGTTGTAAAACTCAAAACATTTATATATGTATATGTAGTATACCTAGCCGACATCAACGTATTTAAAGGTTAGTATTAATTTTTGGTTCGTGAATACATTAACATACTTATACATCTGATAAATATCTCGGTAATTACGTCACGCTGCACACTTTCCATTATATCCCCACATTTGTATAATTAACATAAGGCTCGGTTTTTGTTTAATTAACATCGAGCTACTTATAAAATTATTCATTCTCTTTGAATCCAACTTCGCCATCAAATTTGGTGAGGCTAGTTTTTGTCGCAGAATTTTTCCTCATACAAAAACTGATATCTTACAATTCATGGTTAGACATTGTGAATTGTGATTGATGATTCAACAGAACGTCTCCGGGAAAACGAGAGATCGGAACGGAAAAAAGTATAATGCTCAAGCAATTAAAAGCATCTGTCAGATTGACCTTGAAGATGAGATATTAACAACTCATCCGACTAAACATTACACAGAGATTTCATATCGTAGATAATATGAAACACGAACGCGGCGTATATAAAACAATACATTGTACCAACTTTAATTAATACCATTATCTGTACTAACTATGCAACACTTGACATAATTGTTAGAAGATTAACATAAATAAACCATTTTTATTTTATATTACACATAGAGGTTAACGAGATATGTGATTAATGAAAAAAATTAATTTTATATACTGTAGAATGTAGATTCTTTATCGATAAGAGGGGGAATGACGTATAATTAAGACATATCTGATCTTGTTTTATATATGAATGGCATGTCTATTTTTATATACCTAGTGCTCTGTATATTATTAGACGGTCCTTTTATAATTTATATTGATGGCCAGCAATTTTCCATTAATTTTGATTTTATGTTGTTTAATAAATATTAACACTTACTTAATAATTATTTGTATGCCTGTGTGTGTGTGTGTGTGTGTGTGTAAACATCATATTATAAGTGTTTAGAGTCACGTAAAAGCACATAATGAATGGTCTATTAACTAAGCTTATGTTACTTATATTTGCTGTTAAATTGTACTCGTTTATAATAGTGACACTAAAGTATACCCACACATGTATACCATGATATCAAAAGGCAAGTTCATTTACAAATATTACTTACAAATCATTCATTTAAGAATCATTATAAATGTACGATAATACAGGCTTAAAACATAACTCTAAGATTAACTCGTTTGAGCTTGTTCTAATAATAGAGAAATATACAGACAAACCACCTTATAGAGGCCACAAAGTATTGAACTACTTATACATTGTTCGATATTGTAAAAACAATTATAATGAACGCGTAGCTTATAGAAAAAAAAAAACGGGTTTAGCGACGACTTATATAGAAATATGATGAAATAGAAAAGACACAATGCTTTACTTAAGAACATAAATGCCTATGATGTTGTATATATGTATATATAGCTTCAGATTTATATCTATTGATCACTAGAAAAGACATTAATTTTATTCTAAACATTAAGATGCACCACATTTCGAAATTGTCTACTCCGATTTTTAATTAGTAGCGAATATTTAGTTCTTTTATTCCCACTAAGATGTACAGATATTAAAAAAGTAATCTTCTTTTACATAACGTCGTCACTGTGTGGCTTTAAGAAACACAAAAAACTAATTGAATCGTAAACTCACTCTGCTATGAAAAAATATCAGAAACCCCTTTTTCTGTTTAATCAATAAACTCTGCACTTTATTTTAAACTCGACAATATTGTGTAAAACATTATTAAATCCAAAAATAACAAATTTAAAATTAAAATAAATAGACACAATGATGTTATCTGATAAATGTTAATGAGGTAATTAGCAAAAATTAACATTAACGACATACACGTGTATCACAAAACGCTATTTAACGAAGGCTTCGTCAAAATTTCAATTTACAAAATTGACTGCTACATAATAGACATATGAAATAGACATCGAACTACGGGTCTGGGTGATTGATCTCATTTCCTTTGTGTTCGACGGGCGAGGCATAGTATAATGGCTGAAATACTTTGGCCGAAAGCCAATACGTACTGCCATAAGCGAATTGACGACGAATCAAGATTCAATGGATATTATTGCTATAATATTTTTTTTTGATATGTGTCAACATGACAGGACATTGAATTCTGAGATAATTATCAATAATTGGACTTATCCGAAACGATTGCACATGACTAATATAAAATGTACAACACATTTGCTGTTCAAGGCTGCTCTCAATATAACAAGAACAGATCCTTTAGAGATAGATGTGAAAAAAAGATTATCAATACGTGCTCGAATAAATCTTTTCATCGTACCAAACACAAGTCATAATATATATTTAGGGCAACCAATAACATAATAATTATAAAAGGCAC